GTTGATTATATTTTAAATTAGTCTTCTCCAATTTTAATGCACATCAGTCACCGTTCTGCGCATGTGCGAATCACCTGATGTTGGCGGTCACGTGACCACCTCCGTAGCGTTCTGTCACAAAAACTGAAAAAAATTTCTGAGTGTTATGTTTCTTTCCATGTACGTTAATTTTCATAACAAGAACCGTTCATCCGAAGGCTCAAGTGAGCTTTTCTGATCACATTTTGTCCGGCGTCTGTCTGTCTGTAAACTTTTTACATTGTCGACTTCTTTTCAAGAACCGCTAAGCAAATTTCAACCAAACTTCCCACAAAGCATCCTTGGGTGAAGGGGATTCAAAGTTGTTCAAATGAAGGGCCAAGCCCTCATTCAAGGGGAGATAATTGGAAATAAATGAAAATTTGGTGGCATGTTTTTAAGGTGGCATGCTTCTCAAGAATAACAAAGCCAAAATTGATCATATTTATGTCTTCAAATGCTCGGCAGGCTCACCACAGCTAGTTTTTGCTTAGTTTGCTAAAGATTAACTCAAACACATTCACAGGGATGAATATGTAAATGACGATTTAAAGAAATTACTTTATACAAAATAATGGGGATCAGACTCACAAGCACCGATTGAAATTACGTAAAATATGAAAAATGTCTGATCCCCAAAAAATGACTAGAAAAAAATTTCTATAAAACAATAAGATCAAACATTTTAAGAAAAATATAGCAAACAGATGGCACATCAAAACAAAAGGGGTGACACATCAAAACCCTTAATACAATTTATCAAAATGCAAGAGGTAGGATTGCAGGGGCGGTGGCGGGTCTTTAAAATATACGTGATTCCAAAATTACTGTGGACAGCGTGGGAATAAAAATACAAGTGATCCGCTCAGCTGCCCACGTGATCATAGCCCGCTAATCATTGGCTGGAATTTCGCATACCACCGGCGTAAAATCCCAGCCTGCAATATATATTACATAAACCATCACACCCATGTAAATACAACGTATTTAATACATAAAGAACGCATTTAATACATAAATTCAATTATAATCATAATTGCTGTTTTATATGGAAGCATTCTCAGGTAGTGTAGATTCAAGTTTGTTCAAATCATGACCCCCGGGGATCTGTCGGGGCCACAATGGCCGACCAAATTTTTAAATATAAATAGATAGGAAAATTCTTCAAAAATTTTTCTATCAAGAATAATAAAGCCATAATTGATCATATTTATCTGGAACCATCCTCAGATAGTGAAGATTCAAAATTGTTCAAATCATGACCCCCCGGGGGTAGGGCGGGGTCACAATGGCCGACCAAAGTTTTACAAAGAAATATAAAGGAAAATTCTTTAAAAATCTTTTTCTCAAGAAAAACAAAGGCCATAATTGATCATATTTATCTGGAAACATCCTCAGATAGTGAAGATTCAAATTTGTTCAAATCATGACCCCCAGGGGAGGGCGGGGCCACAATTGCCGACCAAAGTTTTAATAGGCATATAATAATAGGTAAATTCTTTAAAAAATCATCTCAAGAATAGCATAGCCATAATTGGTCATATTTATATGGAAGCATTTTGATGTAGTATAGATTCAAGTTTGTTTAAATCATGACCCACGAGGGTAGGGCGGGGCCAAAATGGCCGACCAAAGTTTTATATTTCCACAACGGTCCTACTTCATGCCGTATTCTTTAATGATTTATCATATTCATCTACTCAACTTTTGTTAAAGCCAATAAGGCCCAAGCCGTACCTTCTTCTTATATATATATTAGGCATATATGAAAATAATAATTATTTTCTCTCATACATGTACCTTTTTAATTCTCATTAGCAAACATACTGAAGGATTGCTTTTAAAATCAGAATATCAAATTGTTTTCTGTTCTTGTAAAATAATACGCATCCATCAATAAGAGTTATCTTTCCATTATCGCACTTGAATTTTTTTTTATGAAACAAAAGTTGATTACATGTTTATAAACAATTCTGCATCTGGAATTTCTGTAACAATTAAATGACTTATACTATTAGAGATAGAAATACCTCAATTTATACCGTTTAAAGGAACTAAGTATAAATGTAAACTATATTAAGTAATTGAGGGGATTATTGGTGATGAAAAATAAAAATCAACATCTGTACGGTGAAAGAGATTCGATTGAAATGACCATGGAATTGTCCTTAGAACTGAAATCTGTAATATTTTACATGACAATTCATTGAATTTCATGCAAAATGTCTTCAGAAAATTATCTCTCTTATCAGATGGATATTACACCTGAAAGTCATAATTTCGTAAGTTCTATGGTCGATACAATGACCTTGTCCGTAAATAACAATTTATCATTGAGTTAAATTGACGTTTTTCATACTAATTGTTAGTCCATTATTTATACACTGAATTGTCGACGGATTTTTCCGCTATTTCCCGATCATGACAAGGAGCACACGGCGGGTGTGACCGGTCGGCAGGGGATGCTCACTCATCCACGGCACCTGATTTGTTATAGATAGTTTTGAATTTCTTAAATTGCAAAACTTTTATGTAACATATTCATGATTTGTTTCGGCAATGCTTTTGTCCACGAAATTAGGTATCCTCGAAAATGTCTGTTTTACAAAATCCATGAAAATTGATGTCAACAAAAATTGTTGAAACCACAGTATTTTATATTTTTATGGACATTGATATTAAATACTGTTCGTTATCTCCATATCCTTTATCCTTTAAGTTCGTGTATTATACTAGGGTGTATTATACGTGTAAATCAGATCGCGTTATCTGACGTTAGGTCGGACCAAGACCAAAGAGCAAGCATTATGTTTGGATGACTCTTGCTCTGCCATTGTGTGCATAATTATTGAGCAAATCATTGCCAATAACATGAATAATAGGTTAGAATCTTGGACATATGGCAAGGTCACCAGGCAATAAATGTTGAACCTGATGTGCTGCATAATCAAAAAATCTACAAAGCTAAATAAACTAGTGAGGGAAAAAAGACTTCTTTCTTATACCTGTCTTTCTTTCTTAACTATTCAACTTTAGCCAAAATTAAAACATGAAAAAACAAGAAAACATTGATGTAACCATCAAATGTCGCCCGGGAAATATATAAAGTAAACAATGGAAATGAGTCTTGATCATCAACCCGCTTCGATATTTGTGAAAAGGCATGCGTCTAATTGATGGAGACGATAGTCGCGAATACTTTGAAATCTTGTAGTCGGATAAAAATCAAACAAAAACGATACCATTTTAAAACTTGATCAATTCCTCAAGTAAATGTTGGCTGCATAAAATATAAATTGAAGTTAAACACATACATCACCTATATTTCAAAAACGTGTTTAATTTACAATTTTAGAATATAAATTACAAACTATGCATAGTACGTTTTTATGCGTGAAGAAAAATTCGATATTCTAAAAAAAGGGACCTGTCGTTTTTTTGATAGTATATGATAAGCAACTTTACATATTAAATATGAAAAACATAAATATTTTTACAGATTCACTTTATGGAAGTAAATATACTATTTATCTCGTAATTTATAAAGGGAAAGAACATTCTCATTAACAAACTTTTCAATGTTTAGAAAACCTTTAATTCTGAATAACTACTCCCACCCCAATCCCCATACACCTACACTTAAACTTCTATGTATAGAGCAGCCCGGTCCTCCGGGCTGCAATAAAGTTAATGAAATTAAAATAAAAAATAAAACGGAAATTTAAAAAAAAGGTTTTATTATAGATTAAATATTTAAGATTTATCATTTACATTGGTACTTAAACATGAATTATATCTCATTGTGAAATGAGTTCAATAAAAGCATACTAGCCATTTCAGTCTTAACAAAGAGGGCGTACAAGCCGTGGACAACCCCCCGCTCTGAGATAATGTTTCACAATTTTCAAAATCACGGAAAAGTTATATTTTTCTAAAATCATGTTCCCAGTCATGTCATCCTCAAAACAATTTATTATTTTATTTTACAATCTTTATTTCAAAGTTAACAGTTAAGCACATTTAGTGGAAAATGGGTTTATTAGAGCCATACAAAAAAGAATTGTGAACATGAATGGGTCAAGTCTCCATTCTTCGTTAACGCTTAAATGATGGAAAGGTAAATGTCAAATCTATTTCATTTGTCCAAAAAATGGAATCTGAACCCATTCTATATGAAAATTGAACATTTCTGAAAAAAGTACGCTTCAACAAATCCGTTCATTTAAATCACAGACTGACATCGATAATACATATACATGTACTTCTTAGCGTAGTGGTTAACTCGGTGGGTCTTGCGCCATAATTAAACTGCGCTATGGAAAGAGTTCGCATCAAACGTGCAGCCTTTTGTTGTTTTCACATGTCTTAAAAATATGAATGAAAAATAAATTATTAATATAAAAAATATTTAAACAATGAACTACAGAATTAAGTGTGTAAAAGATAATATTAACCATATGATTTTTAAAAATATAGCTTTTTATGAATTTTTAGACTTGAGAAATGTTTTTTCTCTCGGAAGGGGGAGTGTCCTCGCCGTGTACGCCTCCTGTCTTTGATTTTTTTTTAAAGTTCAAATACACATGAACAGTCCCATATCGCTTAAGTAGACTAGTGTACATTTCTATTCTACCATTAATCTTTTTGTGTCTGTTTTTCGTTTTCTGGAATTCTTAGCTATGCATTAGAGACGACCTATTCAACATGACATCGGCTTTCCAATATCCTCCTGAATTTTCATTTGGATCGCAGTAACGTGTTCACTGAAGTTCTTTGCGGAGTTAAAAAATGATAGATCAAAACCAAAATGTTTTGACTTTTATTTAATGAATAAAAATTGAAATATCAAATTATTTTTGGACCATTTAAGTTTACAAAGTTAACAAAATTACCGTATTATTAATCCTCGTACTGTCCACAACACAAATTTCAGATAATTTATCCTCGTATTTTGCTAAGATACATAGTTGTGCACTCTTAAAAAAACACTAAATGGAAACTTTACTGAGAATTATATTTCCCCACAATGCAATAAATTCAACAGGTTTTTCATTGGTTACTTATTTTATTAGAATACAGGATATAAACGATATATTTTTTATGTCATACGACAAACAGGAATGTTACAAATATTGCTTTGATAGTAAAATTCTTTGGGGTTTCTCCATTTGTTGGTGTCCCTAGCATTTTTAGTGTTTGGCAAAGTTGGTCACTTGGTACGAATCATCTTTGTCATTTTAAAAATATGAGTTGAATAGGTTAAATAAGTATTAATTCACTACATCAAAAGCATATGAAACCCAGTAGTTATCAATCAAGCGACAGTCTGACCATCTGTTGTTTAGTTCTTTCCACATCCGGACAAGTTCATCCGGGTAATAATGATTTCCGGTTATAGCGTACCGGAAATTTGAACCACACGGTCCTTTATCACGGTACCCGCAGCTAAAACCCGGATGTCCGACAGCCTCAGCCTTTATATATTCCCTACACAACCCCGTTATATATTTATCCTCGGTAGTAATATTTGAAACATGATGTGTTGCCATGTACATTTTTGAGATTATGTCCCCAGTGATAAGATAAGCTGAACTCTTGACATAGACAGGCTGTTTGCTGCGATCAAATTGTGCAAAAGATACAAGTCTAAATACAGAGTTCAGAATAGTTTTTGAATCATCCACTCTGCAACCAATAACTGCATTTTTTTTATGCGTATGCTGAAGGTCTTTAATTAAGAGATGGATATTGAGGAAGACATCATCATTGATTTTCAATACGTATTGAACCTTTGCACAATTCTTATGTACCCAACCCAACATTGCTATAGATTTGTTGGTTTCATTTTCATCTGTGTCTTCCATATCCATTTGAATTATATCATTAAATATGTTCCCTTCTGTATTTGCAATCTCATTATAAAACGCTGTTTTACTTCGCCCTATAATAAAAAAATGGCGTATTCTTTTATCAGAACTCAACAGGGAAATCCAGGACTCTCTTAAAGCTGTTCTTCTATCAAAATGTGTAGGTCTGCTAGAAATCATAACAAGTAAATTTAGTGGTGTTTTCTGTGGGTCTTGGCATAAGGGTTGTGTTGATTTGAATTGAAATAACCCATTGTCCACGTATGCCTGAACCAAACGGTATGACTTCACTTTCTTTCCCTCATTGCAGTAGACAAACCTATTCAATATTTTGTTGATAAGGACCACACAGATAAACACACAAACTACCAACAAAGGTTTTCGTCCTTTCAATCTGGTAAAGTATTGGCAAACTTTCATCTGAAAGTGAAACAAAGGAAGATATTGTAAAAGGGAAACACTGCGATAGTTGTAATTTCATTATGTGCGCGATCACATAATATTTCGCTAACATTAGGCCATCGTTAATATCGACATATCATTAAAGATTCAATTCCAAACCCTAAGACAGCAACTCCCCATTTAAATAAAATGCCAGACAGGTCACCAACTACAGTCGTTTAAATCTAGTTTTGTACAATATTAAATATTGTTCACCAAATTTGTTTTTGGGATAAATTTTAAAATTACAAATAAATAATGAAAAAAAAAAAAATTAGTGACCATGAAATTAAAACAACCTTATAATAGACTATACAGAAAATCTTGAATTATTGAACACGTGGAATTAGACTTAAATATAATTTTGCTTTAGTTTCTTTCAAAATCAATAAGTCGTTTGAATGTCAAAGTTGCAAATTTACAATCTCATTTGCAAAGTATAAAAAAATCTAGGTAAATAAATTATAATTTAAATGACGCAAAAATAATGCCTTTTCAACTTTTTCAAGTTTATACATGTATCTGGTATCACCTTAACTATGAAATCAAAATCATTGTTACCGGAAGAATTGTTGTCTCCCGTTTGAAAAGTGGGGGATATTAATTTGGGTCTGTCTGTCCGCCCGTCTAGCTGTCCGTCCGTCCGTATTTCTGTCTGTCTGTAACGCTTTCGTTTTCACACGATATCTCGAGAACCCTATGAGCTTCCGCAATGAAATTTTGTATATCAACTCCCTATAAACTAAAGAAGAACTCTTTTGATTTTGAGGTCAAGGTCAAGGTCATAAATTCGCAAATTCTGTCTGTTTTAAACACTTTCGTTTCCGCGCGATATCTTGAGAACCCTTTTAGCTTTTGCAATGAAATTTTACATAACAACTCCCTGTGGCCCAAAAAAGACCCATTTAATTTGAGGTCAAAAGGTCAAAGTTCAAGGTCGTAAATTTATACATTATGTCTATGTGTAACACTATCCTTCCCGTCGATATTTCAAGAGGAATTTGAGCTATTGCAATGTAATTTTATACCAAAAGTCCCTAATACCTCTCTCACCCCTCTCAAAGTGTCCCGCCTTGTTTGTTTTATTAGCTCTACTGGTCAGAGACCAGAAGAGCTTATGCGATAGTAATGCGTCCGTCGTCCGTCCGTCTGTCTGTCCGTCTGTCTGTAAACAATTTTTCAAAATGCTACTCCTCCTACAGTTTTGCTCTGATTTCAATATTACTTGGCACACAAGTAGATTATACTAAGATACATAATTCTGTGTATCGGTTTTTGATTTCGATAAACGGTGTTGCCGTGGTAACTAAAAATAGAAATTTCTGTGAAATTCTTTCAAAATGCTACTTCTCCTACAGTTTTGGTCTGATTTCAATATAATTTGACACACAAGTAGACTACACTAAGATACATAATTCTGTGTATCGGTTTTTGGTTTCGATAAACGGTGTTGCCGTGGTAACTAAAAATAGAAATTTCTGTGAAATTTCTTTTAAAATGCTACTCCTCCTACAGTTTTGGTCTGATTTCAATATAACTTGGCAAACAAGTAGATTACACTAAGATACATAATTCTGTGTATCGGTTTTTGATTTCGAAAAACGATGTTGCCGTGGTTACTAAAAATAGAAATTGCTGTGAAATTCTTTCAAAATGCTCCTACTCCTCCTACAGTTTTGCTCTGATTTCAGAATAACTTGGCACACAAGTAAACTACACTAAGATACATAATTCTGTGTATCGATTTTTGATTTCGATAAACGGTGTTGTCGTGGTTACTAAAAATAGAAATTTCTGTAAAATTCATTCAAAATGCTACTTCTCCTACAGTTTTGGTCTGATTTCAATATAACTTGGCACACAAGTAGACTACACTAAGATACATAATTCTTTATATCGGTTTTTAATTTCGATAAAAGGTGTTGCCGTGGTAACTAAAAATAGAAATTTCAAATGCTACTCCTCCTACAGTTTTGGTCTGATTTCAATATAACTTGGCACACAAGTCGATTACACTAAGATACATAATTCTGTGTATCGGTTTTTATACGCCCGTCTTAAGACAGGACGTATTATGTTATAGGCTTCGTGTCCGTCCGTCTGTCAGTCTGTCCATTCCTGTCCGGCTCATAACTTGAATACTATTAGGCCTAGGATAATCAAACTTTGTCAACTTATACTTCTTGGGTAGACGGTGTGTTGCTCACATAAAGTAGGTCGCTCTGACCTTTAATAAAGATGCTATAGCCAAATATGGAAAAATCCTGTCCGGCTCATAACTAGAAAACTATTAGACCTAGAGCTTTCAAACTTGACAAAAGTATACATCTAAAGTAGAAGATGTGTCGGGGCCTATTTCAAGGTCACTGTGACCTTTAATTACATTGAATTTTTTAAAAAACTAAGTCTTTTAAATTCTAAATTTCATAATCCTAAAAAATGTAAAAATATAGTTATATGTTTATTAAAAAACATTAAATTATGTAAAAAGTTGTTTTTTCATTATATACTTTACAGCAATCTGTAACAAATGTTTATGCTTTGAGAGGAATTCAGTTTGTCCCATGGGCTTAATTATCAAGCACTGGTCAAGAAGAATTTTGATAGCAGAAATTTGCATGTCAAATTAGAGAGAAATTAATGAGTTTATTGTCAGGAGCTAAGAGCATCTCTAGATCTGGTGCAGATGCTATCTTAATTTATCTCTTGGGAGTTGGGCAAAAAGAAATGGCCTCATAGTTGCTTTTGCTAATTAAGAGTTCATGATGGCTAGTCCAGATAAAGATCTTTCAATAGGTGTAATGAAATTAAAACAAATTGATGTTTTAGTGTATGATTAAAACTAAATTAGTATTGTATAATATGATTAAAACTAATTATATATGTGTTCATTTAAAAAAAGAAAAATTATATTTCAATTTTTATATATTTGCAGCAAAGATGCTATAGCAAAATATGGAAAAATCCTGTCCGGCTCATAACCAGAAAACTATTAGACCTAGAGCTTTCAAACTTGGCAAAAGTATACATGAAAAGTAAAAGGTGTGTCACGGCCTATTTCAAGGTCACTGTGACCTATAATTAAAATGATTTTTTTTAAAAACTATGTCTTTTAAATTCTAAATTTCATAATCCTAAAAAATGTAAAAATATAGTTGTATCCTTATTAAAAAACGTTAAATTAAGTAAAAACTTTTTTTTTCATTATATACTTTACAGTTATCTGTAACAAATGTTTATGCTTTGAGAGGAATTCAGTTTGTCCAATGGGCTTAATCATCAAGCACTGGTCAAGAAGAATTTTGATAGCAGAGATTTGCATGTCAAATTAGAGAGAAATTAATGAGTTTATTGTCAGGAGCTAAGAGCATCTCTAGATCTGGTGCAGATGCTATCTTAATTTATCTCTTGGGAGTTGGGCAAAAAGAAATGGCCTCATAGTTGTTGTGTTAATTAAGAGTTCTTGATGGCTAGTCCAGATAAAGATCTTTCAATTGGTGTAATTAATTAAAACAAATTGATGTTTTAGTGTATGATTAAAACTAAATTGGTATTGTACAATATGATTAAAACTAATTATACCTGTGTTAATTAAAAAAAAACACATTATATTTCAATTTTTATATATTTGCGACAAATTACAGTCATGTCTCACTAGTATTATTTGTTATAATCAATCCCTACACTGTAAGTCTCTTAGAGATGTATAATAAGAAATGGAAAATAGATAATTGAAATCTGTGTCAATCTGTTAATCAAGGCTACCTGATTTTCTTGCATCCTAACCAATTTATGATTATTGAACAATATTTGACGGGCGTATCATGCTGTGGCGGGGCACTTTATTAATTTCCATGAACGCTGTTGTCATGGTTACTAAAAATAGAAATTTCATTAAAATGGTTTCAAAATGCTACTCCTCCTACAGTTTTGGTTTGATTTCAGTATAACTTGGCACATAAGTAGACTGCACCAAGATACATAATTAGATGTATCGGTTTTTGATTTCCTTGAAAGGTGTTGTCGTGGTTACTAAAAATAGAAATTTCTGTAAAATTGTTTCAAAATGCTACTCCTCCTACAGTTTTGGTCTGATTTCAATATAACTTGGCACACAAGTAGACTGCACTAAGATACATAATTAGCTTCATCGGTTTTTGATTTCCATGAACGGTGTTGCCGTGGTTACTAAAAATAGAAATTTTTGTAAAATTGTTTCGAAATGCTACTCCTCCTACAGTTTTGGTCTGGTTTCAATATAACTTGGCACACAAGTAGACTACACTAAGAACATAAAGAGACTTTATCAAGGATCATTATTCTATTTATTGCTGTTGTAAAGTTTCAATTCCCAATTGCTTAAGTACTTTTCTCTTCCTTTGCTATAAGTACAAACCAGTAGAGCTTCAGTCTCGACAGAGACTTCTGGTTAGTATTTATTGCATTACATGTCGCTATTTTTAGCACAGGGGCATGAGAAGAGTTATTACGTATGAAACAGGTTCTCGGCGGACTTTATATTCTTATTACATTAGATCTGTTTAATAAAGGTTAAATTAGACACCATGCATTGTGTAAAATTTTGACAATATCAAACGTGAATATATAAATACACTGTACATGCCATGTAAGTGACTTCATCTTTGCATATAATTTTCGCCAGTGGAAAGTAGTTCCGTGGTCTAGTGGTATGTCTCTCGCTTCACATGTGAGAGGTCCGGGGTTTGAATCCCGGATGATCCATTTTCTTTATTTTTCGAAATACTTTTTTAGCTCACCTGAGCCGAAGGCTCAAGTGAGCTTTTCTGATCACATTTTGTCCGTCCGTCTGTCTGTCCGTCTGTAAACTTTTCACATTTTCGACTTCTTCTCAAGAACCACTGTGCCAATTTTGACCAAACTTAGTACAAAGCATCCTTGGGTGAAGGGGATTTTAAATTGTTAAAATGAAGGGACATATCCCCTCGCAAGGGGAGATA